GTGGTGGTTGTAGTCGTTGTGGTGGTTGTAGTCGTTGTGGTGGTTGTGGTCGTTGTGGTGGTGGTTGTAGTTGTTGTGTCCGTGGCAGTGGTTGACGTAGTGGTCGTCGTAGTAGTTGTTGTGATGGTTGTAGTAGTGGTTGACGTAGTTGTAGTCGTTGTGGTGGTTGTAGTTGTGGTGGTTGTAGTAGTGGTTGACGTAGTGGTCGTCGTAGTAGTTGTTGTGGTAGTTGTAGTAGTGGTTGACGTTGTTGTGGTCGTAGTAGTTGTTGTGGTAGTTGTAGTAGTGGTTGACGTTGTTGCGGTTGTAGTCGTGGTTGTTGAAGTTGTTGTGGTGGTTCTGGTTGTTGTTGTCGTAGTCGTAGTCGTTGTATCCATGGTAGTGGTTGACGTAGTTGTCGTGTTAGTAGTATTTGATGTGGTTGTTGTTGTTGATATAGCTGTCGATGTAGTTGTTGATGTAGTTGTCGATGTAGTTGTTCTAGTTGTTGTTGCTGTAGCTGTAATTGATGTATTTGTTGTCATAGCTGTTTTCGTGGTTGCTTTTGTGCTTGTTTTGGTGGTTGTCTTCGTAGCTGTTTTTGTAGTAGTCTTCGTGGTTGTTTTCGTAGTTGCTTTCGTGGTTGTCTTTGTTGTCGTTGTTGTTGTTGTTGTTGATGACGTTGTCGATTCTATATGAAACAGAAAAATTGAATGACATTTTTTTCATAATTTATCAGTTCTGTATCGATTAACAACATATTTGACTTCGAATACATTCGTATGCGTTTCCCTTTCTCTCTTCTTGCATAGTCTATTTACTTATAATTGTGTCTACTGCAGCAACTGAAACAAATCAGTTGGTACAGTATGAATTCGGTGTTAAAATCTTTTTAAGCCTGATAAATTGGCTATTCTCTCATTTTTTCGAAAAAAACTGTTCCACTAAGGGAAATGTATTAGACTCTGATAGAAAATACTTATTTACATGATTAAATAAATAAGATGTTAAACTAAATCATTTATTTCAATGAATTATTGCTTGATAGAACCAAGCCGATAAGAGTGAGGATGTTTGCCGAACTATATCTGAGCTAGCGAATATGGAACTGCCCAGACTGAATATATAGCGATAATTAAGGATACAGTGTTACTGATAGATTCACCTAGACCGTCACCATGATCTCATCCCTCAGTATTACATGCAAATGAATACCGTCGCACATTCTCATTTACATCCTAATCCTCAAGAAAAGAAATAACTGGAAAACATTTCAAATTTAAATTTTACTGACCGATTATACACGTTGCACCACTCCAACCAGTTGCGCATATGCATGTATCAGGAGCTGTGCATGTACCACCATTGTCACAGCCATTTGTGCATACAGCTGAAAGAAAAAACAAAAATTATTAGAATCAACTAAACTCTGGTTTTAAGTTACCAGTTTCGCATGTGTCACCAGCCCATCCTGTGGTGCATCCACAAGTGGTGAGACCTGTGCATTGACCACCATTTTGACAGACGACTGTACAAGACTCTGAAAAAGAATAGGCTTACATATATAAATTACATTTGTTCCAAAACAAACAACAAAATACATTAGAGTAATTTTTGTCAACTCTATAATTTCTATATGTAACAAGTCTTCTCTTGAGGAACATTTTGTAGAATTCAATTTTAGAAAATTCACCCAAATGATTTTTTATTAGAATAAGCATATCACTCAATGTAGATTTTCATACCGTTTACGGATATCACGTTTAAATTTAAAAAAAAATCAAGTATTGTAACAGCATACACGGATACTTTCTATTGTCCGTAAATCTATACACACTCTCTCAATACTTATGATGAAAAAAGTCCTTATCTGATCTGAACCTGTTGCTTTTCTTATATAAAATTTCAGATTCATATTTTTTTTTTACAATTTGACCTGAACCGGAATCTGCACAATCTAAATTCTAGTTTGGATAGGGATGCATCCGTACTCCCAGATAAGTTATAATAAAAACAGCCTACTCACCGATAACAACACCACTGGGATTATTTTGATTGTTGTTATTGCCATTGGAATAAGATTCAACGTAACAAAGATCTACAGATAAGTTGATTCCATCGTCCGCCGTAATATTGACACTAGACTGAGTCTTGAATTGTTCATGTATACCAGTAAAAAAGTCTATTTGACATGACAGCGTTTGACATGTTAAATTGTTTGGATAACCTAATGCGACATCAAAGACGATAGCAACACCTGTACGATCTGTTTTGTCGCATTGAATGCTATATGTAAGGGTATAAATGAATATGACACGCATAAATTAAATTAAAAAAATTACTCGCGGCGGCGGCGGCGGCGTCGACCTTTAGCACCGGTTGCTTTTGCACTGCTGATGGTGGTAACAGCAATGGAACTTTTAGGAGCACCGATTGCTTGTTGTAACTGAAATATAATATACATTATGAGCTAACATAAAAGACAAAAATTACGCAAGAGGCAGTTGTTTGACGATTGGTGACGGACTGTGTGGCACGCTTTATTACTAATCCAGCTGGCAACATATATGAGATAGTTAATGTAGTAAGTGATTTTCCTAGTAAAGATTAAATATGTGTATATAATACAAACAATAAATGAATACTAACTAGTGTCCAGTAATTTTTGAATGTTGGTGATGTTAAAGTCGCTTTTTGACACATAGAATGGAATGAGCGAAAAAGTAGTTGTCCATATGATAGCAAATAGTACCAACATGGAGAAGCCAAGTTTAGAAGGCCTATACAATTAATTAAAAGGTAAAAAAAATTATCAGCGATATTTAAAACTCACTTTCGAGGACGTTTTAAGTTTATATGAGCCATAGATTTGAGTCAATTGAAAAAATTTTGTTTTGAAATCAAGAAAAATCTGAAATAAATTCCTATATGAAAATCAAGTGATGAAGAGGAGTCAGCTTGAGATCTGAATTGTGAACATCGATCGTTAAGGAATAATATATTACAATACTTTTTCTCATGATTAAGTGTCTCTAATAAATTTCAATCGGTATTAAACATATTCTTTTTACATACTCCTAGTCTTTAGACTAAGTGTCTAAGCCTTCACTATATGCTAGAGTTTGACTTTTCGACTTGTTTTGATCATTATTATAAAAAATAACTTAACTTAAAATTCATAGAAATTTCTAATTAATAGATTGATCAATCAGATTTTAGTAGACTTATTCTGTTCTATAGTTACGACAATTTATACTATAATTCGCATTGATAATTGATGATGGCCGATTGACGCTCACATGACTTTAACAACATTTCGAGACGCTCATATTGGGTAAAGAGAACGATAACATTGTTATGCTCCTAACAAAAAGAAAATGATCAAAATAACTTAAAACTCGTTCAAATCACTCTCGAATGCTGACAAACTAACCAATTTACTATTCGCTACTAAATCAATAGATCAATTCAATGAATATCCAGTCACACGGGGTACTCAATCTGATTGTGTGCCCAATCAAGCTGCACGTCAGTTAGAAATAGCTGTCTAATTCGACCTAAGATATAAATGAAATTTGAACAGGCGTCACCTCTTTCATAGCAAAAGCAACAGATAATTTTTTTTATAAATATCGGTTTAGTTGAGTGGTCAGTCAAACTAGGTAGAGAATACTTTTGAATATTCAATCAAACTGAATATCTGTTGAAGATAGATCTGATGATTCAGAGACATCTCAAAAACTAGTTTTAAAATTGCAGAGCTTCTCAATAGTTGAACGACATTTAATATGATGAGTATAGTATGAATAAGAGGAATTCACTAGGAATGATACAATAGTGATTATGATGAAACAATACCCAAACAGGATCGACGTCGAAGGACAATACACCAGTACGTTTGTTATGAGTATAGACGAAAGAAAATGGCTGCGCAAATATGTAATGAACATACACGCTTACATTTTTTTCTCGTCATAGTTGAGTGATACATAAATTTTTTTTATCTTCAGTTTTCTTTTATCATAATGAAATAACAAGCAAATAAATAAATACAAATGATACTGCATATTTTCATTTTCATTCAGGTAGGTAATGTGCATGATATGTCATTAATAACCCATTAGAGAAAAACAAATCTTATTTATGGATGAGTTGTGTTTCATTAATGAGGTATGTATAAGGTTACCAGTCATACTTTTTACCAGTCATGATATAAAAAAGAAAAGAAAAATAAGATTTTTTTCAAATAGATAATCAAAAATTGTATAAGAAATTATTTTAATATTCAACTATTTCATTTTTTCTTTTTATGTAATCACTTATATTTCTAATGTGAATAATCTTTAAATAGTAATATAATTATTTCATTGCAATAGATAAAAAAATACAAATTTGATTTTATATAACATAATTATAATGAATATTAATATTACATTAAAATAAAAAGTTCAACAGATATATTCATAATTATTTGTTAGAACTTGTATTTAGTTCAATCATTTTTAGATAAAATAAAGTAAAATGATAATAATCAATCTAATATTTTCATTTGAAATTGATAATTCTTATTATTTATATATATTATATAAGAAAACTTTTGATGATTATTCATTATTTTTATTTGTTTATGTATAATTTAATAAATATTTATAAACAACAGAAAACAGAAAATATTTATTATGTCAAATTTGTTCTATAACATTCAATTTTTGATCAGAAAAAATATAATATTTCATTTTAAAGTGATGAATCTTTTTATTTTTGTTTATTCTTTGGCAATATTTAAAAGAATTTTATTAAGAGTAAAAAAAAACTTTCAATTAAATCAACAAATTCATTTGTCTTATGAGAATAAATGTCAATATGATCGAAGAAGAATGAAATATTTTCTTTATATTAAGTAATAGGAAATATTTTATATTATTTCGAAAAGATTTCTTTGCTAAATTAATATAAAATATGTATATAATTGATTTAACAATTTTTTCTAAAATCTTTTTTTTTATTTCAACTTTTCTATTAATTTATTTCTTATTTTCCAACATTCCAAAATTCTATAAAAATATTAAAAAGATTATCAAATTATACGTGATATGATAAATAAAAAAACATATTGTAGTCAAGTTATCCTGTCATATGCAACGAAATTATTTGTACAAGTGAATTATTCTAACACATTGCTGTTCGAACTGTAAAATAAAGATTTAGTTTAATACATTTACTATTGTATATTTTGTCAATATTTATGAAATATAGAAAATATTCATAATATAATATATTTGTATTGATTATTATCATTTGATATATATAATTATTCCTTTCATGATGTATTATTTGAGAAAAACAATTTAAATCAAAATCAAATGTAATCAATAAAAGTGATTTAATATCAGTTGTATAATTTAGAATACAGAAATTAATCAATATATTTCAGTATTTTATTTAATCGTGCTTACAATTAACAATAAATAATTAAATAATATCTAATCTGAAATTTTTTTGTATTCCTATTTGATAAAAGAGTTAATAGAGTTTTTTTAGTATCAATAGTAATTTATTTAAAAGTAAAATATCTTAATCGTCTATAAATTTTTGGTTGACATACTTTATGATCAATATTTGTATAGAATCCCAAGCTTATATCAATTCTTGATCGATGCGTTTTTCTCTTTCATCCTCACATTCTATATCTGTGAGTCAATAATAATATCAAAAAGTACTGTTGCATATTTATAGAAACATAAGGGTGGATGTGGATGTCAGTGGGTGTGTGATGCATATAGTACTCAAATTCACAACCACACCTTATATATGCACCTTTCTAAAGAAAATAAGAAAAAGTCTTGAAGAAGTTTTTGTCAGTTTGAAGGAAAAAGAACACGTAATTTTTTTTTATAGTTTATAACTAGGAACAAGAAGAATCTTGATTTTTAAACAAGGATTGTTACAATGGAAAATAGTCAGTCATTTCTCATTTAATTAATGTTGAAGATGATCTTTGTTGGTGCACAACTTGCATCTTGTATATTATTTCCTGTTTAAGAGCGCATTCACTGCGGGCTTAAGATCTTCTGCAGAAAAGCCTTCGATAACTTGACTTAGTCCCTGTTCACCATCTTTATTTCCTTTCCGTGCCTGAGCTTCTTTAAAACGTTGCACGTCCAGAGCAAGTTGTGGATCATTATCTCCTTCTTCTTCTGTTTGTACCACCCAAGCTATTGTGATCGTAAATACGAGACTAATAGCAACAAGAATTGTATATGTCAGAGCTGTGGTACTGATTTTAAACGCGCCTAAAACGACTCCGATGATCAATGCAGCACAAGGAATACCGAACATACATGTACAAGCACAGATAATTAGACGCGGATGTTCCCAAACGTATTTTGATTTCTGCTTATCTTTTGGCGTCTCAGGATCGGTTGTTTGACGTACACGATCCGATACTGTTGCGGCGGCTGCTTCAGCTTCTGCTTCTTCAGGCGTCTGTAATCGTCGCGAGCCAGAATAGAGTAGAAAACGTAAGGCCAATTGTACAAGAGCACAAAGCGCATGAAGAAGGCCAGCGCACGCACCGAGTTGTGTCACCGCATCATTGATTGAAATATCACGCGCAATCCAACGAAAACATGCTGCACTAGTATTGAATTGTGTAGAGTTGGTTTCGTCACCTGGTTTACAAGTAAAATAGTTATAATTATTGTCAGCATCTCCATAACAATCCATCAGACCATAGCTAGGACAAGGTCCATTTGGATAAATAGTAATAGTAGCTAGACAACAACCTTGTATAAAAGCAATACAAATAGTACCAAAGATAGCCACAATAATAATTGTTAAAATCACTATATTGCGTCGTTGATCACCATCAATAATTTTACCATAGAGATCGAGCAACTTTCTCCTAGGTGGACGTTCTGTAGATTCATTAGGAACAGTAGTGATTGTTATCGGTGCGACAGATCCTGACGGTTCGGTAAATGCTTGAACAGGTGTGGTTGTTACAGTTTGTGCAATAGCAGACCGCCGGCTTGTGTTTTTATCTTTCTTCTCATTGTTTTTGCTAATATTGTGCATCTCGATATAAAACATCAGTTTGACAATTTTATCAAATACGATGTCATATTTCTTGATGAAAAATATTAGAACAACAGTAATAATTGCAAGTATTCCAACAGATATGCCAACATTGGCAAGTATATAAGCATAATATGACCAGACCATCGGTACGTTCGGTTTTTTCGAATGAAAACTAAAAATAAAGACGTATTACTTACTACGCTTCTTTTCAAATGAATTGCGTTAAAAACTGTGCAGTATGCTTGGATGTGTGCTTCAGTTAATATATGAAATTTTTCCCGTCGTGTGAATTTTTTGTTAAGTACTTTATTTTCACTGAAAATGTTTTAAAATGATTTAATGTAATTCATATTCTTTACTTTTCTATTTTGTTTAATAGTTACAAAAACAATCTTTTATTTACCTGAATGAAGAATGATGAATACTTTTTCACTGTGGTAATTTTTAATGCCTAAGGAGGCAGATTTAAAGTAACGTACTGATTTTTACCCACGAAAAATCGTTGTTTTTTCAGAAAGGGACCAATTCAGTGAAAATTTCAAGGGGGAACAAACTGATTTCCTGATTTCTAATTTCATTTTCGTGATTTCCTATGATTTCTTGTGATTTCTAGTATGGAAATCAATTGGGAACATGTGTGGGTGTGACCGGGTGGGTGTCCGTGTCCCTGTAGATACTATATTCACCTGACACCCACACTCACACCCCTTTGATTTCTTTTTGATTTCTCTTGATTTCTCGTGATTTCTACTTGATTTCTACTTGATTTCTAGTATGGAAATCAGTTTGTTCCCCCTTG